AGCTGTGGGCAGGAACACAGGTGACCTCTAAGCAGCCGTGCTGGAAGGTCTGCACCCAGCAGGGATGGTGGCTTTCCCGTGGCTGTGTAGATTATCATGGCACCCACTGTATTCTCTAGTTCTTCCTCGAAGGCGTGGTCAGGCACACCTGTAGCCAGCCCCTAGCAGGCATGGTTACGTTTTCCCCTAAAGTGAGGGTCCTATGATACTCTTAATCCCCTCCTTCAAGAGAGATGCTCAACAGCTAACAAGCCCAGCTGGGATGAGTTTTAGTAAGCAGGTTCAGCTGGACTCCTGAAGACCGTGGCAATTTGTCTCGGAGAAGAGTCGTGTACAACAGCCAGCCTTCTCCCGAGGTCAACATTGGAAATGGACAGGCACCCTGACTTTGTGCCTGGAGTGTGAGCAGCTCAATGAGAGAGGAGGTCATCTTCTGTGAGCCTGGGCTACCTGGACTCCTGTATTTGCAGTCTCTGTCAATGAACCTTGACTAACCGTACATGTGGCAGAGACGGAAATTACAGTCCTCATTGATGTGGAGTGACTTTTTCACACTGACCATTTCTGGTTTGATCTTCTGGTCCCCAGCCCTCCTCACTGATGTGATGTCAAACCCCAAACAGCCTGATTTACACACATCTTAATTGGTCGGACAAACCAACACATTTTCACTCATTCTTTTCTGGTCCAACCAATCCTCTCCCACCCCCTCCTTAGCAGGACATCATATCTTTTTTTTTTTTCCTGCAGATGTGTCTGTATGAGGAAATCAGATCCCCTGGAACAGGAGTTACACACAGCTGTGAACAGCCGTGTGGGTGCTGGGAATTGAACCCGGGACCTCTGGAAGAGCAGCCAGTGCTCTTAACCCCTGGGCCATCTCTCCAGCCCCCGGACATCACAGCCAAATGTCAAGTCCAGTTATGCTTTTTGAGAGTTCAGAGGTTCTTATGAAATTCTGAGCCCCCTGTCCTAAAATGGGCGAGCTCTCTCTGACATCTGGTATACCACCATTTCTGGGTGTTCCCTAAAAGATTCAACTGCTCTTAAGGGCTCTAACAAATTTCCCACAAGTCCCCAATATCCTAAAACTTGAAGCCCAGAAAGGCTGATAGTCTCTCTTGGTGAATCCTGGTTAGCAGGCTTCTGTAGCCCTACAAAGTGCCATGAAAGGCCTCTACTTCAACAGTAAAGAAGTCAGATGGATCCTAAAGAAGGGCCCAAGGCCTGAGAACCATAAATGAGGCTATGCTTTTTTATTTGCATGTGTGTCCCTTACACCCTCTTAGGAAAGACGCCTGCCAACACCTCCTGGGTCACACTGTTAGATCTAAAGAGAATCTTTCTTTCATATTCCTGTCCACCCAGACTCTCAGTTCCTATTTGCCTTGTAATGGGGGGGTCCTCTCCCCAAGTTGCTCAGCAGCTCCCAGGGACTGTCTTACTTCAGGGCTTTTATGCTAGACCATGACTTTAAGGACAGACCCTAGCAAGAGACCTGTCATACCCCAATTTCCCCCCTGGAATTAGCCTCCTTCCATACACACTTCCTTTAGACACCACTTTAACTCTTCAGAAACAGGCCTCATAGAGATAAACACCTTGTCTTTCAAAGGCTCAAATCTCTTCGCAAAAGGTCTTGGGACCAGCTAGGCTGTATAACGAGTCACACAGTAAGAATCCCAGAATAACTAGAGAGCCCCCAGCCACAAAACAATAACCACAGACCCTCTAGGGAAAGTGGGATTGTTTTTAACTAGAGAGACCCCAGCCACAAAACAATAACCACAGACCCTCTAGGGAAAGTGGGATTGTGCTAAACTTGGATTTTCTATCTAGTTCAACCAAATAACTAAACCTTTCTATGAGGCCTCTGGGGAACCAGAGGAAGAGCTGTCAGTTTGGACCCCTGAGAAGACATGGGCCTCAGACCTCCTAAAGTTCACCCAAGCATCAGATCTCCCCATTGTATTAAACCCTTTTCATTAACCCAAATTTTGGGCCCCTCATGGTGCATGGTAGTTTAATCACAGTAAGTCATGAGACCTGGGGGTATGGGAGCTGACCTTCTTGCCTTAGGCTCCCAAAAGGCTTTAGATCAGGACTTCACACTCACCCAGAAAGGGGGTGGGGTGGGCTACAGTTCATCTCCTTCACCCCTCCACAGTGGACCCTGGGGACAGATGAGGCATCTGGGGAGGGAATAAGTAGATCATTGAGTATAGAGTGTGAGTGAGGGGGCTGAAGGGATGGCTCAGCGGTTAAGAGCACCGGCTGCTCTTCCAGAGGTCCTGAGTTCAATTCCCCGCAACCACATGGTGGCTCACAACCATCTGTAATGAGATCTGGTGTCCTCTTCTGGTGTGCAGATATACATGGAAGCAGAATGTTGTATAAATGATAAATAAATAAGTAAAATCTTTAAAAAAAAGAAGTGTGAGTGAACAAGTGTCAAGCGCACAGTGGGCCTTTGGGCCACAGCCAGAGCATTGTGCCTCACTTGGCCTCACCTGGCCTCACTTTGTGTGGCCTCATCCTCATCTTGCCTCACCTGTGCAAGGCAGCCAGCACAGGGACTCTTAGAACGGCGATGTTCTTGCAGCAGCAGCTGTGGGCGGTGAGGAGGAATGTGGGCCCCTCTCCATCTCACCTCAGCTTCTTATCTTGTTCTAAACGTCTTCCAACTCTTAAAAGTCTCGGGCTTCCCTCAGAGCCGAATAGGTTCTTAGAGACTCACTTTTGCTAAGACATGTCCACAGGCTGGAAACAAGAAATCTGAGAACCACAGAGAGGCCTGAGTGGCGGCGACAGGAGATGAGAACTCCTCCCTCTAAGTCCTGCTGAGGTAAGCATGCCCACTACTCATCACTCAGGGTGTCTGCGACGTCCCCAGATATCCCCTTTCTAACCCATGGGTCACATACACGATGTCAGGGATGATGCAAATGCTGGGCCAGCATGAGGCCACACACTCCTGCCTGTCTGTGCTTGTCTCTGTTCTGAGTCGTCTGTGATGCTCCTTGATAGCCTGGGGGATAAGTTAGTCATAAGAGCCAGTCATGGGAACATGTGGTTTTTATTATATTACAAAAACAAAAATTCCCACCAAAACACAGCTAAAAAAATAACACATTTTTCTAAGATGACATTACCCAAAAACAGTTAATAGTGTCGCTGGACTACATCCATCAATACTGCTTGGAGAAGCATTTCATTACATTGGGAATGGATAGTTTGGTTTTGGCTTTTGTCTCCTCTGAAATGCTACTCTGCATCGCAACTTCTGACCCTTGTAGGATCCTCAAGCAGGAATCCACTGCTGCTGTCACAAGCTCAGTGCAGATGACCTCAAAGCCACCCAAGCCAGCGCTGTCAGACATGGTGAGCTGTGTAGGAGGGGCATGAGAGCCGTTGTTAGCTGGCTGCATGAACCTTCCTGGGACCATACCAGCTGAGGCTGGAATGGCCTGCTTGTCCAGCCTCGAGGTACCTGCCCTTGCTCAACAGGTGTCTTCTAGGGCACCCCCAAACTCACTTCCAGAGAACCACGTCGGTACTCCTGGGGAACCTGGTGACTGACAGATTGGCTTTCCCTTGCTCTGTGTGCTTTGCAGAACACAGTTTATTTCAGACCCTAAGCCTGGTTCCTGGGGAGTGACACATGCTCTCAGCCATGGCAAAGCTTGCTTCTGTGACATTTATGTTTTGTCAGATGGTCCTTGGCAATTCCCTTCAAGCATGCTTTGGCACTTGAGGCAGGGCCTGAGGAGACACACAGCTCTGGGTCCTCACTGGAGATGGGCTCTTCTTTCCTCAGATGTCTGTTGATAAATCTCTCCTCCTGACCCTTCCCAGGAGCATGTGGTGGGGCACTTAGGATGATGGCTGCTCCTGGACAATGCCTGAGATGCATTCACTCAAGCACATCTCAGTGGGGCTCACAGACCCAGGAGTGAGGATATACCTGCGTAGTTCCTGAGGTAGCATAGGACAGCATGTGCCTCAGGAATGAGCACCCACCTCTACCAGGACCTGATACCGGAGGCAGAGAACACAGTCTGCCTAGCCTCCGTTTCCTCACCTGTTCAACAAAAAGAAGTGCATACTCGCCCTCACTTTGTGAGGTGTGTTAGCATATGCCAGGATGGCCACACCCTGCAGCCAGGAAGTTCTAAGTTTGCTGCCACAGCTGCCCTGGACCATCTGGGTGCAGGCCTGCTCTTCTGGGAAGACCCAGAGGCTAAACTGTCAATACCTGTCCAGTTGGAAGGGCCTACATGATCAGCTCTGACCTCTGGCAACCTGGTGCCTGCACCCATCCTGCGTGAGTGCACCCAAACCCTGCCGCTCAGAGTCCCATAAAGTGTGGTGTGGGTGGTGGCCACCTGAGTTTGCAGAGCCTGCTAAGGTTGGCAATGTCTGCCCCTGTGCTTCCAGGAGGCAGCCAGGCTAGGAAGCCAGTCCTGTAGTGCTGACTATGTATGTTGCCATCCCCTGGGCTCCACTGCCTCTGTTGGGCCATGCTAATGAGAGCCAGGCCCACCGGGCTTTATGGCAGCAGGGGCTCCTCTGTGGTCCTCCACTCCTGCAGGAACTGCCTGAGCTCTCGGTGCAGAAGTTCACAGTTTCTGGCAGACAGAGAGGGCCCCATTGGCTGAGTGCACACAGAAGCTGTCTCTCCAAGCCCGCTTCCTCCTTGGGGTACACCATGAAGGCTGGGGCCCCCAGCGTCTGCCCATGGGCTAGCATTCAGGGAGGAGGGAACAGATGTTTTGCTCACAGCTGGGCTTTGACCTGCCCTCCCACAGCTGTGCTGTCTCTGAGATTCTTTCCCGTTCAACCATCCTGGCAATACGTGAGGTGAGGACCCAACACTCGGTTGATCTCAGAAAGGAAAGCTGGGAAAGTTAGAGGTGGGAGGAAAAAAGCAAGCTGACCCATCAAGTAGAAAGAGTAACATTTTATCAAATATTGACAATTCAATTTTCCGTAGTCTGAGACTCACGCTGTCCCTCTGTCTGCTGAGAGGGGTCTGTAAAGGGGCTGTGGCCAGTGTGTTTTGGGTGCTGGCTGAAGGCTGATGCCAGAAGCTTCCTCTGGTCTGCCAGTCTCCTCTAACCCCAGGGAACTGGACTATGACTTTGTTCTTGTCAGGAGACACAGGGGAAGAGCAGAATGGCATACATTAGAGACAGAGCTGTCCCGGGTGTCTCTGGACTTCACCTTCAAGACACAATTCGGAATCAACCTGCAGATGAGTGCAGAAGACACAGTGGCCCGGCTGCTCGAGGCTAGAGGGAACTAGAAGACTCTGGAATACTTTGTGGCAGAGGGTGAGTGAGAAGAGGCTCTTGCTCTGTCCTGGAGACGGTAGAATCCTCAAGAAAGGGGGCGCGTAGAGAGTGGTGCTGGCATACCCACCTGCAAAGGGACAGCCCCCTGTCTCAGCATTTGGCCCATAACCTGCCTCATGTACACGTAGGTAGGACAGTTCCAGAGGTTTCCTAGGGGCAGTTCATGAGTGACATCCCTTCGGGAATGGCATCTGGCAGAAGGCCCTTGCTGTTTCCATGGGCACAGCTGAGGGGTCCTGCTTCCAAGGGCAGCTTCTCACAGAGGAAGGAGAAGTCACTCCCCCTCAGTGGCTCTCTGTCTCTGTGAACTCCTCTTTGATGGGTTGCTTACGAGACTTGCAGTCAGGCAAGTCAAAACCAAAGTCTGCCCACTCGTCGGGGCCGGTCACTCCACCTGGGCCTCCGCGGTTGGGGATAGTGATGGTGTGGCGTACGCGGAAATGCACAGCTTCCATGACCCGCTGCCGCTGCAGCTCGCCAGAGCCACCGATGGAGATGGTGGCTGCATTGCTGCTGGAGCGCAGTAGCTGCTGCCCACAGTCATGGCTCTGCTTCAGGTCCTGTAGGCCTCTCCAGATGGTCATGCGGTACTGATCAGGGATTTTCAGGGCCCCGAGGTCCTGCAAGAGTGATGGCCACCTCAGGGTTATAAAAGGGAAGCTACGGGGTTGTGTGTCCCCCACATCAGAGATGCCCCTACTTGCAAGCAAGCTTCTGCTTTCCGGGGCTACTGACTTATTAGAACAACACAATGTAGATGACAGAGCAGCCCAGAGAGAGACAGCATCAGTGTCACCTGCGTACAGTGTCTAGCCACATGTTTGTGTAGGACAGTTAATGACATGTGGGGGTGTTGGAGGGGTCAGTGATGAGGGCCTCTCCTGGGCTGTGTGCAGCCTGGAACCTGGATCACAGCGAGAACACAGATGGGGGTCTAAGAGGCCACCTGTCTCCTGGCTGCGGGAGGCCTCTTGGCACCCATTAGTTGACAGCTGCTCCAGGCTCATCCCTTAGCTTCAAGCACATGACTCTCCCTAGTGAAGCAAGGGTTAATATGTGACTCCAGGTAGAAGGAATATAGTTAGTGGTCACACAGATGCAGGTTGTTAGGCACTGGCCTCACCACCTCTGATAAGTCTTTGTGTCCAGCCTGGGTCCCTAGGCAGGGGACAAATACGGACTGGCCTCTAATTCAGGCTAGGTGAGAGTCTAGGAAACAGTTACAGGAGAGGCAGGAGGTACCGAGATGATGCACTCTGGACCTGAGACTGTGTCCCAAGGAACCAATCAAGGATAACTGTGTTACTAGGTTGTAACTAGATGTCGGGAGCTTGGGTCAGGATGTCCAGAACCCTTCTAGCCCACATTCAACCCAGAATGTTCTGTGCTGTGTGTGTAGGCTGGTCTTCAGGCCCCATTTATTCTCTCTAGGCCTGTTCCCCTCTGGCTCCTGCACTTCTTGCCATTGGGTCCTGGAAAAAGCCCAGCCCCCCAAAACTAAAGGTAGTCTGGCTGGGGCATCAGGGTGCTTTAGCAAGAAAGAAAGCCCCCAGGCCACCCCCAGAGACTGGGGCACATGTCCACCCTCCTCCTTCAAGTCACCTGAGCCTGTTTTGGCTTCTGAGAACCGACTTTGGAACAGAATCTGATCCCTTGTGGGAAAGGCTCTGGGAGATCCCCCCACCCCCAGCCAGCCACCCTGGATGGTGCACTCTGCCTGGGGCCACGCCCTCCATCCCTTTGGGGAGGTCTGCGGGCTTTTACCTCTATGGTGAGGTTCTGCAGGTGGTAGATGCTTTGTAACCCCTGGGAGGTGAAACATTCGATGCAGTTTGGACACCCCAATCCTGTTAAAAAACTGCAGAGAGAATTTGAGAAGGTACCATTAACTCCCGGTGCTGGGCTGTATGCTCAGGTCTCCCAGGAGTGGCCTTGCCGGGAGGGAACTGTCTATTGCAGTGGGCAAAGCTGCTAGGCCCTTGGAGCAGGTGTGTCCAGTCATCAGTGCCTCAGCCCAGGGCCCTGCTTCCTAAGGCTCTATGCCAGCACCTGCTGATGAGTCTTGATATGGCACGACCATCTTTGTCTTCCCTTGGGCCAGTCAAGCAATTGAAACACAGGATAAGACAGAACTACATGCAAGACTGTTTTTCCCCAGCAGGAGCCACACAGTTAGTAGGAGGCGGGGAAGAGGGGGGTGCAACACAAACCCAGGTCCAGCCACAGCCCATGTACCTGACAAGGCTGGGGTCTGCATGATAGGGGGGTGGCGGGGTGCAGTGGGATCCAGAAACCATGGTCTGGGAGCTGTGGCCGCCATTCATCTCACCATTGGCCGGCATGGTATGGCTGTTGAGCATCCCGGAGCCTGGGCAAAAGAGCAGGTCCAGGAATCTAAGATCAGGCCCCACACACAGTGGGAGGTGTCCCAGGTTATGATCTGGTCTGGTTGTGTGACACAGCACTGTAAGGGCTGTCTGAGACTGAGCAAAGGCTGAGCCCTTAGGCCCAACTCTTTTCCTCAAGAGGTAGAAGTAAAAGGTGGCTGTGTAGAGGGCACTTAGTTTAAACGATCCAGGGACTAGTGGCTGGCACGCGCGTGTCACCAGGTTCCAGGGCCCTTATGTGGGACACACCTGGGGCATTGCTCAGTGTCAGGAGTATGTCCATGAGTGTCCCCATAAAGACCTTTCAGAAGACACCCACACTCCAGTCCTCCCAGCTCTACAGCTGGTCCCCAGTGAGGTCTCATGTCCTGTCATCCTTGAAATGAGGGGACCTGGTGTTGCCATTTTGCTGATGGAAAAACTGAGGCAGACTGAAGCTAGAGATTATCCTCAAGAGAGAGGCTAGGACAGATGTTTTTAACTATACCACTCCTCAAACCCCCAGACACAGAGCTCCTGGGGATTGGAATGAGCATAGCCACGTTCCCTGTGGCTGTCACCCTCCTTCAGGGTGGAGCTGCAGGAAAGGCAGCCATCAAGAATTCCCCCACCACTCATGTTCATGGTCCTGGTGAATCCACCAGGCCCTTCCTTGGGTCTCTGCAGCCCACACGAGGCCTCCACTGCCCCAGGGACTCACCCATGGGTCCCAGGTTGGGCCCAGCTGACGAGCTGTGTGGTGGAGGCTGGCCTACCAGCTGGTTGACGGAGGGCAGCTTGTTGACACCACCATGTACCTTGTTCATCGGGGAGAGGACAGGCCCATAGGATGGAGGCTGCAGGTGACTCCTGCTTGGAAAACAACAGTGTCCATTCATAAGAGGTAAAAGCAACTCCTCCCTCACCCGGCACTTCTGTAGACACCCCTAGAGGCGGGGAGATGAGGACCCCCCCCCCCCGCCTCTCAGAGAGCTGCCGGGAAGATTAATGCCTTGCCAGCAACTCTAGCTCCTCCTGCCCCTTCCAGATCAACATTTACAAGGCCCATGGGAGGCAGAGGTGTGGTGAAGGTGGGGGTCCAGGGTTCCAGGGCAGGCTAAATCCCAGAAGGCTTCCTGGAGGAGAAGATGCCAGCTAAGATCTGAGCTGCCTTGGCTCTGCTGTCCAGCCCTGTGCATCACACCTCCTGTGCTCCTGGCCTTCCCCCTTCTGGGTCATAATGTCCACGCTTCCCCATCCGGATGGTGGGGTTCACTGTCATAATAAATCTTTCCCCCCAAAGCCACCCAAGTCCTACGGCCACATGGATGGACAAAATAATACACAGACTTCTATTAGGTACAAATGCTGCTTGGCCAATGACTGGGATTCTCATCTGTTAGCTCAGAATTAATTATCATAAATCTATATATTTTATAAGACTTATTGGACAGCTTCCATTGGTGTCCCTCCTTGCCAGTGGATCACATTGTGCCACTGGAGGAAGAGCGGAGGGGAAAAGGGACACTTCCTGTTTCTCCTTCCTTAAATATGAGTCTCCTTGCTATGTTACTTCCTGCCTGGATCACCACTTCTCTACTACATTTCCCAGAATCCTCCTCGACTCCTAGTCCTGCCTAACTTGCTGCCTCACTGGTCAAACAGTACTTTATTTATCATCCAGTAAGACAAACACACAGAAGCACTTCCCCCATCAGTTCACTCACGGTCTCTGTAGGAGTTGCTGCTGCTGCTGTCGGTAGGAGTCCACCAGAGGCTGTGGTACAAGTTCCATCAGTTCTAGGCTCTCCTTGACTTTCATCAAGATCTCAAAGTTCTCCCGGCCTCGCACCTGAGCACAGAGAGCCAGACCCTCTGCCCAGATGCCCTGGAGCCTCTGCACCACTAGTGGGAGGGGGCAGCCGAAGCCGTAGGAGGACCCTACCACAAACCTAGGTTTGTGGCAAAGTGTTGTTCTTCTCTCAGAGTCCCGGTACTCCAAAGTTCAGGGTACCCTGGCTTTCTTTCTTGTCCCCTTGGGCAGATGTAGGAAGTGGTCCCCAATGCTTCAGAGACATATGTCCCTTTTTCCCTGCTAAGAGGCTCTCCTTCTCTTCCTCCCACTTAGCAGCTATAGGTCCTAAAACAGGACTCACTCTCAAGGAAATAAAAGCATTCCTTCACAGTAAACCATGATCTCGCCACCATCCAGCTTTATCAATTCATGTAAACACAGGCTATACCCTATAGGATCATGGATTCCTACCAACTCTCCACCGTGGGGGACTCCTTGATGCAGAGCTAACCTGGCTGGCATGTTCATGCTCACTGAGTTCAGGCATTGCAGGATCTGACTCTGGACAGAGCCTCCTTTGAACCCCACCTCATTCAGGGTCATACTCTCAATCCTTGTGTCACGATGCCACCCTTGCCCATCTCTTGTGGCATCAGCAATTCCCCAGCCCACTCTGACAGCCAAGTGCCCACTCACATGCATGTAGAACACGTCCTCGTCCCCATGTCGCCTCTTTTTCACATTGGCACCCAGGGCGGGGATGGCAGGAGGGCTTTGCTTGAATGCTGAAAGGCAGGTCAGGAGAGACATGTAAGCCGGAAGGCAAAGGCTGAAGTGCCCAGGTGACACTTGCCATGGTGTAACATGGGTTCAGTGCAAACCTAGGCCAGATGGAGCTGGGCCCAGAGAAGCCCGGCCCTAGCCTCAGAGCATAGAGACAAGCGCCCTGTCAGCACACGGTCTATCAGCCCTTCCAGGCCCAGGCCATTGAGACCACAGATGTGAGTATGCTTGGTGTCTTTGTGGCAGCACTCCAGCTCACACCCAGCATGTCCAACGCCATCCTGAGGGATGACCCACCCTCCACCCTGGCCCAGAGCACCACGCACCACGTTTACTAGCGGCCCCGTTCTTTGTGGCGCTCTCATTCAGGGCCTGCTGCTCCCGGTAGTGGTCTTCATCAGCTTTGCGGTCACGGCCAGGACAGGCACAGATGCGACCCTCGAAAGACCTGCGACCCAGCACCTGTCCACTGTTGGGTGGACACAGTACAACTGTGACCTCGGGGACCATGCCCGCCCCCGCAGACCCCCAGGACTGGCCTTGAAGTTGAGTGACCTCTTTGTGTCCATGACATGCCCCCCACGGTGCTGGCCCAAGACCCCGCCCCACCTCTACCGTCCTGTCACCGCAGACTCACTCCCGGGTCTCCAGGGTGATGATGACGAGAATAGGCCTCCGATTCATGCCCCCTACACAGCTGCTGTTACACATGAAGTTGTACAGGATGGTGGTGAATTCTGTCCCCACCTGTCCACAGGAGAGGCAGGAAAAGGGCTTGGCGTCAGCATGGAGGGCCCCCCTACTAGAGAAGGAACTTGTGGCTGCCACATCTGGCCCTGGTTCTGGAGAGGCACAGGAGTGCTACGCTATGGCTCTCTGTCATCTACCCACCTATACGCCCAGCCGCACACGGTCTACCAGCCCTGTCTATGCACTCATCCATCCTCTCTCTACTTACCCGCCTAGCATCCCTCAAGCCATCCACCCATCCATTCATCATCCATCCGCTTACAGGCCTGCGCACTCACCCACAGATCCAGCTGTCCATCGTACCCACCCATCCACTCACCATATATCCATCTGTCTATCGACCACTCACCTGCCCCGTTCACTTGCCTGCCAACTCCTCACCCATTTATTCACTCACCTGTCCATCCACCTATCAGCCCATTCCCATGCCTGCCCACTCACCTTCCTGTTCACCACCCGCTCACTTGCCTGGCCGCCTGCCTCCCCACACACCCATCCCTCCGCCCACACATCCACACGCTCATTTGAGATTGCCTACCCACCCACTGGCCCGCCTGGGCCCTCATAACACTCTGCTGGCTCTGGGAGCAGAGAGCTCAGTACAGAGTCTACAATGTGACCGACTCAGCACATTGTCTCCCGTAATACAGGCAGAGGTCAGGTCTCAAGGCCCTGAGTGAGTGGGTGTGTGCGTGGGCCTTGGGGCGCATGTATGCTGCATGTTGTGGTCTCGTCTGAAGGGAAGAATGAGGAGCCGTAAATGCCAGCCCTTCCCAGACCTTGCACCTGGCAGCCACTAGAGGGCAAGTCTGAGCAGGTGCGGCCGTCTGTGAGGAAAGGGGAGGGTGCTGGTGTGTGCATGCCCACCCTGGGGCCCTGTCAGAGGAGGGGCAGCCCTCATGTCAGCACAGGGATGAGGCCTAACTGTCTGCAGTCCTCCTCGGAGTCTCCACCCTGGTGCCACCCACCTTCCTTCCTGTTTACAGCCTCCCCCCACCTCGGCCTTTGGCCTCAACTGGGCCTCGGATCAGATCTGGAATGGTGGCCACATGCCCTTCTGTTGCCAAAGCGGACACCTGCCCCTCCAGCCTTTCTTGACTGTTTTTGCAGCCACCACCTTCGGGTCTAGACCCCTCACTTCTGGTCCATGCCCTTTATCTCCAGCCTGAGCCTCCACATCCACCCCGGGCCCCGTATCCAGCCTGTGCCACTCACCTCCACTGTACCCCACCTCCAGCTTGCACCCCACTTGCACACAGGGCCTTCTTAGTCTCATCCTTCACCCCATCTTTCCTACCGTCCTGAGCTCACGTTCCCCAACCCCCTGTAGTCTTCTCTGTGGCCCCCGGCCTGGTCGAGGGGCCCGTTCAGGATCCCAGCCACCAGCATGGAATTCCATTCCCTCCACCCAACACCCTATGCTTGCTGGCTTGGTTTTATCCCTGCCAATGGGGTCCGAGATGCCCAGGGACTCCTCTCACTCCCATGCCTAGGAAGCTATACTGACAATGGGAGAAACAGACAAAATTAGACTCTCCTAGGAGGGAAGGGCTGAAGGCTTAGAGGTCTCGTGACCAGGGCTTGCCTTGGAGGTCATGTGACCATTCCTTGCTATATAGCTGAGGACATTGTGTGTGTGTGTGTGTGTGTGTGTGTGTGTGTGTGTGAGAGAGAGAGAGAGAGAGAGAGAGAGAGAGAGAGAGAGAGAGAGGATTGAAGTAAAGTTGGATGGAGCCCAGTCTGCTCCCCCATCCCCCCATCCCCGCCTACCTGTGGGGGTTCGTAGGGCACAACCACACTTTGCCTGCCGGTGACAGGGTCATCCACATACTGGGAGAGGTTGTTGCCTTCTACTCTGATGAGGTGGCTAGCCGGGGCAGACTGTCCTGCCAGGAGGGGACACAGCTTTAGAGAGGAGTGCATACTCCAACCTGTCACTCCCATACCAGGTGCATGGCAGAACTGAGACCATAGGGCTTCTCCCTGTGAGAGTCCCAGGCAAGGCTCTTCAGAGCTGTGCAGCCCTCATTCAGGTGGCCTTGAGCCTGGTAGATGCTGTTCCCAGATCTTCTGACTCTGGGGATGTTATAGGCTTCACCAGGAACACTGCAGGAATTCTCCAAAAGACTCCCCAGAGTCAGCCGATCCCTCAGACTTCTCTGGAGCTACACCCCTGCTGGCACATCAGTCTCTTGGGCTGCAGTCAGAGCCGAGGAAATGGACTGGGAGGGATGGGGCAGGGTTCACAGTTCCTGGTTGAGGGTGGGGGGAGGGGCTGCTGAGAACACCACCAGCCCACACTCACTGGCCTACATCTCGCAGTGGCATTCTGGCCAGGTTTCCCTCAGGCCACTGACCATGGTGCTGCAGAGGTTGGGATCCTACGGTGGAAAGAAAGGGGGCGCTCACCTTCATTGAAGTCCCTGCCAAGCTCATGGTTGGGGCAGCGCTTAACGATGTCCGTCACATGTTCTGCCTTCTTGTAGACAGGCATGGCCCGGATGGCCGTGCCTGGGGGAGGTGGTGTGGACACCTTGATCTGGATAGGGCACGTCTTGGCAATCTGACAATACAACTTCTTCAAAAGTGGGGAGTACTGGAGGGAGAGAAGTGCCAGGTTGAGATCACAGCCAAGCTCCATGTGTTTGTCTGGGCTGGGCCACTTTCCACAAGACCCCTTTTCCAAGTACCCTGATGAGGCTGCTTCCATCCTATGCCCTCCTTTAGGCACCCTTCTGTAGGAATGTAAACATGGGTATGCCTGCCGCCCACTCAATAACTGCCTGGCTATTTACACCTGAGTCCCAAAGGCTGCAGGTGGGGGACCGTTGGATAAGGATGGTAAAGGGTGAGAGACTGGGGAGGTCAGTGGTAGTCAGCCTCAGTCTTGTTTTCCCAGCCTAGCTCTTCAGTCTGGCTGCAGAGGTAGATTTGCAGCACTGATCTGGTTTGACAAGCTCAGGATTGCACTCTTCTGCCTTGCACAGAAGAAACACCCTGTAGGGAGACTGCTTCCCCCCTCAACCTTCACCCTCCAATGGAGAACTCTCTGGACCAGCAAGGCGGTACACTGACCAGCCACACCAGCACTGTTCCCCCAAAGAAAGCCACCAAGTCCAGGCAGCCAAGCTCGCTCTGCAGTTGTGTGAGGCAAGACCCCATTTCCCCATCCTAGAACCTGACTGGACCTGAGGTCATGCCAGAGCCTGCCCCGGGGACAACGGAATGCTACCATTCCTCCAACATCCATGTCCTGTGCCCCAGGTCACCCATCTAAGGACTGAACTGTGCCTGCTGAGACCACTTCAGTTATGTCTATTTATTTACATGTTAGCTGACCCTCCACTCTCGCTCTGGAGACCCCTGGAGACTCCTCACACCTTCCTCCCCAAGGGCAGTGGAGGTCCCTGGCCCTTGAGTTTATAGGGGTTTTTTGTTGTTGTTTTATGGTGCTCCACTCTCTCTAAAGTCCATTGACTCAGAATCATGAGTTACACCAGCCTGGAAAACGTTCACCATGTTCCATTGTGACAGTTGGGGAAACCTAGGCCAGAGATGACGAGCTGTTAACAAGACGGGAAAGAGTAGGTAATGTTCACACACCAAGAGTCTTTCCTTTGCAAGGAACAGTGGAGGATCCTGACCACCCCAATCTTATAAGGGGCTTATGGGAATCTCATATACCATGGACAAATGCAAGGAAGGAAAGGCAAGGAGAGGCATGTGAAGTGGGTCCTACTTAAAGAGCAAGAGAGACTCACTATAAGGGCCCTGCAGAAGGCCAGAGGGGGGGTTGTGAAAAACAGAGAGGGCTCTAACAGAGAGAGAGAGCAGTTGAGGGAGCTGTATTCTCAAAGAAGCAGCTTGGGGCTACACTAGGGAGACCAATTTGACTTTCTGGGGTGACATGAAGTTCACGGTCTGGGGACACAAGCATTAAGTAAATTTATACACAGTGCCAGGCAAACATTAGGTACCAGTGGAGGGCCCAGGCCTCTTGCCTATTCACAAATGAAGGCTTCCCAATTAGACCCAGGTTCAGACAATTGCACATGACAGGGGCAACCTAGCTAGTCCTGAGCTCAGAGGCCCTCAACCTGAGGCCAACCAAGGCAGCTTCCCGGTGAAGGGATACCCATCATTAACAAGCATTGGCTGAGTGCCCACTGTGTGCCCACTGTTTGCCCATTATGGAAGCCTAGGCTACTTAAAGAAAATGGGCAGAGGGGTGGGAGTGGCACTGAGGTCAAAGTCACCAGGGGCAGCAAAAGAATGGCCTTTGGAGTCTGGCCACTCAGCTCCCAATTCTGGCTCAGGAACCTAGGCTGGATTGCCCTAAACACTGGACAAACCTACTGGGTTTGTCTACCACTGACTCACCACAAGACCCCTGGATGCCAGCTGTGTGGCAGAGTGCCGGCAAGGTCAGATGCCTCTTATTCCAGCATGGTTGCTCTCATTACCAGGTGAGGTGATTTGTGGGGCTGGCACAGCTGACAGGGCTCACAAACCAGGGGTCTCCTACAGTGGCTGTTCTAGAAATGACTACCCAGAAGGTTCCTCTTCTCCCATGCTCCAGCTCATGACCTGAGAAGGGGTCATAGACCCAGCAGGGCCTGAGCCAGAATGGGCTGGCAGCAGGCCAGGTCTAATGGTGCCCTGAGACCACATTCCTGGGAAGCCCAAACATGCCTGAGGAGGGGAGGGTGCATTAGGTTCACCTCTGTGCTCCTATCAGGATGGAACAAGGCTCAGGGCACAGCCCTGCCACAGAGAGAGACATTAGAGCTCCCAGCACCCACCCACTCCTGAGCAATGGGAGGCTTCAAACCTTGCTCACCAGTACGCATCCCGGGAGCCCTGACCCGTCCTGCAGGCCACTGTCCCCTACCCCCATCACTGCCCTCCTAGGATCTAAGATACTCAGCTACACCCCCAAGCCATGCACTGCCACTGACAATGTGTAGCCTGGTGTAGCTGAGGCCTGATCCCCCTCCTCAGAAGGCAGCTTTGTGCCTAGGGCAATCGTGAAGTAAGTGGTACTGACCTCCACAGCTTACAGTAGGATCCTGGGGGTGGGGGAAGGTCTAGGGAAAGCTAGGGATATGTTTCAGCAGAGCTGGTAAGGGACAAGCCATGGATGCCCCACCCTGGGGAGGAGCTCAAAGTGCCGGGAGCTGTCCCTGGTACCAGTGAGGCGGCGGCAGCACGGCAATCTCTCAGGACAGAATCAGAGCTTCTGGGATGTCAAGTCTTCTGGTGGGACAAGTCTCCCACCAAGTCAGTGTGGAGGGAACTCCAAGCCCAAGAATGAAGCTACAGGAGGCTCCTCTCCTCAGGGCAAGGCAAAGACCTCGGGTGGCATCCCCCCTAATCCAATGGCTTTGGAGGCGCCAGGGCTCTCACACCTGCCAGCCCAACACTGACCAAGGTTCAATCTGTGGGAATCTATTTTAGCCAGGGGTGGGGAGTTTGGGATATCAAGGTCTTCCCACACCTCAAAGGGTCAGACCGTAAAACCAGAAGCCAGAGGGGAAAGATTCCAGGATGCTCAAGTCCTGAGACTAGAAGGTCGCCAGTGCTCCCCTTCCTGGACAGAGCTTACGGGGGCGGGTCAGTCCTCTGGGTCAGACTCTGAAGAAGGGGCAGAAGGGTGGCTGTCTCGTTTTTTTTTTTCCAGAGTATCACGTGACGGTGCTTCCTCCCTGCTGCCCTCCTCCTGCCTCTCCTTCCCTAGAACCGCTAGATGGATGTGTTTCAACAGATTCCGAGCTGATAAAATCTTATTTATCTTCGGCTGTTGACACAGAGCCGTCCAGACATGCCTGCGCGGATGCGTGTGTTCCGCGGGGCTTGCAGGAAATACTTTGCCCAATGTTGGAGCAGAGCAGACTCCCCCGCCACAGCTCCTCTCCCGACCCCTCCTCCTTTCTTCCCTCCCTGCCCCCACCTCGGTCCAAAATGGTCCCGGCCTGGCTGGAAGCCCCTAGCCTGGCAGGGTTGGTGCAGGGTGGTGGGTGAGAGGGCGGGCGGGGGCGGGCGCGGCACAGGGCTGTTAATTTCCTCGCACCCGCTCCCGGCAGCTGGGTGCCTGGCACAGGCAGGTTTGGGCAGGAGGACAGTGGGGAGGTGATAATAACTTGTCTGTCATTTTCTCGGGACATGTAGCATCTTGCAAACCGCAAATACCGTTAACCAGCTTGGGTGAATCTGTCAGGACAGATTCTGAACGAAAGGCTGTGGTGGGGGCTTTACTTTTTAAAAATTTTTTTCATAGCCCACTTTTATATAGTGTGTGTGTGTGCGTGTGCGTGTGCGTGTGCGTGTGCGTGTGTGTGTGTGTGTGTGTGTGTACGCACATTTTTGGTCTCTGGACCCTTTTAAGAGTCAGCCCCATGGTCACGGGCTTTTACTCTTACTAGGACACATCAGCAGAGCAGATCACAGAATCTGGTAGGCTCAGACAGATCTTTTAATCTGGAGGGACCCAGTCCACAGCCCCTAAGTTGTGGCTCCCTTGCCTGTTTTCCTTTCTCCTCCAGAAAGGTCAAAGCAAGAGATGAAGACCCGAGGATCCCATCAGCCAAGAACAGGTTCTGGCAGCCACTCTGTGGGGGCATATTGGCCTTGGCTGGCACAATTCACTATCAGGGTCACTGGTTTCCATGCTCAGTCAGGGGACATCTGAGAACAGGGGTGGGATCTTACACAGGCTAGGGAGCCCCGTCAGAACAGGGCTAAACCTAAGCCCCAGGGAGGGGAATGGTGCTCAGGGGAGGTCGCCCAGCCACTGCCAGAGGGACCTTCATGCCAGGATATTGGTTGAGGGCAGGGAAAGTCATGGTCTACGAACCCGTCTTTGGAGGCCTCAGGTTCCAGTGCCTGGCCCAACCAAGTTTGCAATAAAGATGCAGTAGTTATTCCTAAAGAGCTGCAGTCTGCGGGAGGGTAAACAATACCCAGGAGGTAGACACGAACCAGACCACTGTCCTGTGAGTAGAGTGTCATAATCTGTGGACAAAGACCCGCTCCCCTGTGGACAGGCAGGCCAGGAGCTAGCTGGGGAACCCCTCAGGAGGTAGGCAGTCTGTCCCAGGAAATGGGCAAGCAGGAGCAATACAGGTACCTTGGTGGTCTGGGATCCTGAGTGCCCTCTTTTATACCAAGACTGCAGAGTCGGAGAGCCCTAGGTCACAGTGTTTGTGTCTGCTTAGCCTCTGCAAGAGCAGAGAACCTTCCAGCTGTTTCTGCCCTGGTCCAGGGAGCTGGGAAGCAGATTGATAGCTATGTGTGAGGGCCCAATAGAATCGTCTCAGAGAAGGGAGGACCATGGTTGGGAATCTGGAAGGAATGCACAACTGAGGGGCTTTACGCAGAAATCCGAAGAAGGAAAGGAGCCCTATCCACTCCACTTTCTCTGTGAGGTTCCTGGGTCCACTATGACTTCTTGGGAACCAGAGCTTGGCTTCTAAAAGTGGCCATCTGAGCTGGGGTAGTATCAGTAACCAGACCTTGTAATGTTACATTGGCTGTACATCTCTGGTTCCTGGTAGGCAGCTCTTAGAATCCAGGGTCTCTTCAAAGCAACAGTGCCTT